CTAAGAGTAGTTTGGCACTCAGGTTATACCCACTATATTGGTTCTCTTTGGTTGACCTGGTATGGTTATACTGAGAAACAATACTGGAGATAAATTATAATCTTCTGCTTTTTCAAATGTGCCAATATGTCAAAATATCCACTGGGAGCCAATAAAACTAAAAAATCACTACACTGCTCTAAGGACCAAGTTGTTGGGAATGAGCCAAGAGACATTACATGAAGAAAGCTCACTAAGTGAGGTGGAAACAGGTGAACTAAATGATGACTCCATCCATAAGAACTTCCTTCAGAGAAATGGAAACAGTATGAATATTCAGTTGAAGGAAATAACGATTTTGAAAACAGATGACCTACTGAGGAAACTTGCCAAGGTCAAATCACAGGATACAAAAATGACAGTTCCCACTCTGGTCTAACAACTTAGGCTGTACTGATACCAGCTAGGTCATAAGTGATACCAGGTACACTGATTTGGTGATGGGCAGCTTAGGCTAGATGAGAGATCTGCTCTTCGGATTGGGACCAGACTTGAAAATGCCACTTGAAGTGGAAACTGCAGAATACAAACCTCCTAAAAAACCTTTTGTGAAATTAAAGATTGCGTTGAACTTTTTAAAAGAAAACTGAGGTGCTGAAGATCTCTGATATTATCCAAGTTGTCAGGAAGCCACTAAGAAATTGGATTATGATCTCAGCATCCAGTACTCACTATGTCTCAAGGGATTTTTTTACAGTAGATAGTTAACACGAAAGTTGGGTACTTTAGTTGATTTCATATCAATGATTGAGTTATATTGTAATTCCTAATCCAAATGAAAGTCCTATAATTTGATTGCTTTTTCCAACTACTGTGGAGGGGTAGGAGGAGGACACTGTATTGCTTATGAAAGAAGAAAATATGATGGAGGGTGGTATTATTTTGATTGTAGTATCTTAATTGAATCAGAAGGCTAAATTGTGCTGAAAGCAGTATGTTTAAGGGATAAGGGAATTTCAGATAACCAAATGTAAATTATTCATCAGATTTTAACTTGTGCAGTCCTTGAAATGAGACACAATGAAAACTTTAATAATTTCTTAATTCATTTATAGTCTGGAATTATGATATTATATATATAAGAACAGAAAACTAAGATTACATTTAGTTCAAATAGCCCATTTAGAAAGGCTAAAAGTACATTTGAAGAATGTATGTAAACTCAGTCTTTTTTTAAAATATATTTTATTGATTATGCCATTACAGTAGTCCTATTTCTCCCCCTTCATTCCCCTCCACCCTGCACACCCACTCCCCCACCATTCCCCCCCTTTAGTTTATGACCACCTGTCTCAAGTTCTTTAGATTCTATATTTCCCATACTATTCTTGCCCTCCCCCTATCTATTTTTCACCTACTGTCTATGCTACTTATTTTCTGTACCTTCTCCCCCCTTCTCCTTCTCCCACTCCCCTGTTGCTAACCTCCATGTGATCTTCATTTCTATGGTTCTGCTCCTGATCTGGCTGTCCTCTTAATTTGCTTTTGTTTTAGGTGTGGTTCTTAATAACTGTGAGTTTGCTGTCTTTTCACTGTTCATCTTTTTTATCTTCTTTTTCTTAGGTAAGTCCCTTTAACATTTCATATAATAAGGGCTTAGTGATGATGAACTCCTTGAATTTGATCTTATCTGAGAAGCACTTTATCTATCCTTCCATTCTAAATGAAAGCTTTGCTGGATAGAGCAATCTTGGATGTAGGTCTTTGGATTTCATGACTTGGAATACTTCTTTCCAGCCCCTTCTTGCCTGTAAGGTCTCTTTTGAGAAATCAGCTGACAGTCTGATGGGAGCTCCTTTGTAGGTGACTGTCCCCTTATCTCTTGCTGCTTCTAGAATTCTCTCCTTCATTTGAATCTTGGATAATGTAATTATGATGTGCCTTGGTGTGTTCCTTCTTGGGTCCAACTTCTTTGGGACTCTCTGAGCTTCCTGAATTTCCTGGAAGTCTATTTTCTTTGGCAGATTGGGGAAATTCTCCTTTATTATGTGTTCAAGTAAGTTTTCCACTTGTTGCTGTTCCTCTTCCCCTTCTGGTACCCCTATAATTCGGATGTTGGAACGTTTAAAGATGTCCCGAAGGTTCCTAAGCTTCTCCTCATTTTTTTTTGAATTCTTGCTTCTTCATCCTTTTCTGTTTGGTCGTTTTTTTCCTCTTTCTGGTCCACTCCTTTGATTTGAGTCCCAGTTTCCTTTCCATCACTATTGGTTTCCTGTGCATTTCCATTCATTTCAGTTAGTTTAGCCTTCATATGTTCCTCCAATTTGTGACTAAAATCAACCAGTTCTGTGAGCATCCTGAGCACTAGTGTTTTGAACTGTGCATCTGAAAGTTTGGCTATTTCTTTATCGCTTAGATTTATTGGCTCTGGGGCTCTGAGTTGTTCTTGAGCCATGTTTTGATCTGTTCGTGCCTGTTAATTATGAGGAGTGGAGCCTTAGGTGTTCACCAGGGTGGGGCTACCCAGGTAGCTGGTTTGTGACTCTGTATGTGGGGGCAGGGTCAGAGAGGGACAATAGCAGTCCCCTCTGCCACTTCCCACCACTGGGGCCTGCGCAGTCTGTCTCATCGCTCGCCCCTTCACTGGTTTATCTGCATGCGAATGTGTGACTACAGTCAGCCCTTAGTGGGTCCACCGCCTTGTGCCCTCAGTCGGTCTGTCGGCTACTCCACACCTGGGATCTGCCGGCTGCTGGAGTGCCTGGGTCACGCCCCTGGGTCAGTATGGTGGATTTTTCCTGCCAGACCCCACTCTGCTGCTGGCTCTGCCCCTCTTACCAGTTTGGCTGAAGGGTTCGTTGTTGTCAGACTTCCGTATAGTTCAATTTTCTGTGGTTTGGCTGCGTTTTTGTTGCTAAAACTTTGTTGTTTTTAAACTTGGTTGTGCAAGAAGGTACAGTGCTTCCACCCACACCTCCATCTTGGTGGAAGTTGTAAACTCAGTCTTTACTATTTTCCCAAATGCATTGTATCCTGTTTCTGATCATAGATAGATAAGTTTTATTCAGTGAACTCTGAGGCTCCTGGTGTTCCCTGATGTCCAGCCCCCGTCATGGTGTTTTCTGTGTGCCAGGACTGGAAAGAGGCCGGAAAGCATTGCTTTGTGGTTGGTTGGCCTTTCCAGTTCCTTGTCACTGTTGATACTTTATGTGCCTCCTTTCTGGACACACCCACTGCTTGAATTAATTGTTCCACTCTATGCTTCCATGATGTGTGCATGTTGGTTCTTCTATTAGAGTGACTTGTGGGAGTGCTTCTTCTGTTTGATGCACCAAGCTCTTTGAGGACAGGGATGCAGTGTCCTCTTAACATCTCAGTGGCTCTTATCTAGAAAAGCCACTTCCATCTTGACTGTCCCAAGTACCATCCAGTGTTTGTGAGTTTCCACTTAGTTTTTTGAGTGGCTTGTCACACTTTGTAGAATTTATTTTCTGCAAAGCTGGGGAAAAGAATGACTCAACATCTTTATTGTAGGAAAAAAAGATTGGAAAATAACTGAAACCTATCTTCTAAGAAAAGAGGGTAGCTTTCCAAGGCTTTCGTGCCATCTTATGGGGTGTTTATTCAATCACAACAGAATTTTGCCTGACTTATTCTCAGTGAATGGCTTACTAGTAAGCTTCAACTTTTTAAAAATGAGGATCCTTTGTCTGTAATCCCCTTTATAATTATTTTTGTGAGCTTTATTTATTTTTAGAAAGGAGGAAGGGAGGGAGAAAGAGAGGGAAACATCAATGTAGGAGAGAAACATTGATCAGTTGCCTCTTACATGTCCCCAACTGGGGATCTGGCCTGCACCCCAGGTATGTGCCCTGACCTGGAATCAAACCAGTGACTTTTCGATGGTGCCCAACCCACTGAGCAGGGCTATATTTCTAAGTGTTATTGATCTACAATTCACATACTACACAATTAATTCACTTAAAGTACACAGTCCAAAGCTTCTAGTATATTCAGCTAAGCAACCATCATGATTTTAGAACCTTTTCATTACCCCCTTAAGAAAGCCCAAACCTGTTAACATTGCCCCCCTCTCCCCTCTACCCATTTCTCCCTGGTTTCTGTTCTATAGATTTGCCTTGTCTGGATATTTTGTATAAAGGGAATCATGCAATATATGTGCTGTTTTTGAGCTGCCTTCACAGTTCATCCATGCTGTAGCGTGTATCAGTGTCGCATTCCTATTTATGGCTATATCTGATACACCAATTGGTGGGCATGCCATAATTTATCTGCTCACCAACTGATGAACAGTTAGGTTTGTTTCCAGCTTCTTGGCTCTTAGGAACAATGCTGCTGCATGCATTTGTGTACAAGTTTTTGAGTTGACACATTCTCATTTTCTTTTCGTATACACCTAGTGGAGTTTCTGGGTTGAATAGTAATTTAACTTTTTTGAGGAACTGCCAGGCTATTCTCCAAAATGGCTGTAAGATTTTATATTTCCACCAGCAGTGTATTAGGGTTCTGATATAATTGTATTTTTGTGCATTTCAAAACTTGTAATAAAGTGATTTGAATTCAGTAAAGCTCTTCCCAATTTTTGTTAGAAAGTATGTAATATAGCACAATGTGCCTATTATAGAAAAATAACATGAAAAGTTTAGAACAAATTACATTATTCCACCCAAAGATATGGTGTTTATTGGTAAAATTTATGGGTATAGTATACACATACATATCACATATTTTTTTAGGCCAGGTCTTGTGAATTGGTATATCATTAATTACAACAGTATATATACATACATCCAGAAAAGGGGACTGCTCTGGTTTGTAAGATATTTTCTTTACTCTGTGTATCTAGACAGTGCTTTCTGTATACCTGGGTTCACAGACCCTGCATAGGCTGGTTCCCACAGATTGGGGGCTGCTGGCTTACTTAACCTTTAGTTTTCTTACCTAAAAAGCTTTGGTTTAGTCAAGGTAATATAATTTGTTCAACTTAATCTTTTTTTAAGCACTTACTGAAAATGATCGAGACAGCCAGTCACCATTAAAGAATCCTCTGTTGTCGACGTCAAGACCCTTGGTTTTGGGGAGATCAAATGGCACGTACCTCTCTTCATTATACCTTCAATATGGCACACCACTGCTGTTTTCAGGAGCAAGACTTTGCGGCTCTTCTTAGACTCACCTACGCCCTCCCTCCTGAGAAGGAACACTGTTCCTGCTGCTTTCAAAGGCCAGAAACCTTGAGTTGTGTTGTACTACTGACTGCCCCTCAAGCCTACCACGTTTATTCTTGTAGCAAGAGATGTCACCTGGCTGCCACTCTCCATTTGTGATCAGTTGTAAAATACTGTTCCTCTTATGTTCCTCAGTTTGGAATTCCTCCACCCTGCACTTACCCCCTTTTATGTATTTTTCTTTTTTTGCTTTTATTGTATTTAGACTAACACATTGTTTCCTTTGTCTCAGGTGATACAACTGATTATCAGAAACAGCTAAAGCAGATGATTAAGGATTTAGCCAAAGGAAAAAGTGAAACTGAGACTGAATTGCCCCAAATGAGCCAGGTATGGACTTTATTCTGTGTAAACAATTAACTATCTTGCCAAATGATTTGTTTAGAAGTAAGTTTGGTAATTCAGTTGGGGCCCTTTTACCTACAAAGCCATTATTAAAGGATCTTATAAATTTGGGGAGGGAAATCTCTAAAAATGTGACCCATTCAGATATTCAGAGCTCTTCAAAACAGGCTGTCTTTGAAGAATTTTCTTATCAAATTCATTAACCAGAGTGTGATGAAGATTTATTCCACAGAGTGATAGCATTTGGTGGCACTGTGGATATACCATAGTTTTCTTCCCTTAAAATTGGTCAGTGTTCAGCCCTGGCTGGTGTAGCTCAGTGGATTGAGCATGGGCCTGCAAACCAAAGGATCACGGTTCATTCCCAGTCAGGGCACATGCCTGGGTTGCAGGCCAGGTCCCAGGCAGGGGACGCAGGAGAGGCAACCATACATTGGTATTTCTCTCCCTTTCCTTCCCTTCCCCTCTAAAGATAGATAAATAAAATCTAAGAGAAAAAAAAAAAATTGGTCAGTGCCTAAAAGCACTGATTATGTGACAGTACTTATCTCTTAAAGCCTTTCTGCAATCTCCAGAACAGGTTTCTGTGCCACTTTCAAGCTCCGTGTGATGGTATTAGGTTATTTCACAGTCCTTTATTATAGGTCCTGTCCTAAGTCTTTTTGGTGCTAATATGTGCCGTGAGCCTTCAAGAGGGGACATTTAGCATGCAGTTTCTCAAGTCTTGTTTTGACCTCAATTATCTTTTGGGGTTCCTATGTTGTGACATATTTGCTGAGCGTTGCTCTACTCTGGGGTGTTCCTTTCACATTTTCCTTCTACTCCATAAAATTAGTTACATCTCAATATTGCATGTCAGTCGTAGCTTGATTTAAAAAAAAAAAAAAACTAGTTAAATCTCGTCAGCTAGAGCCATCAGCAGTACCATTCTGATAGTGTATCAGCCCTTTACTACAAAAATGGGCTGTATCAATACTTGAAGTCATTTACTTCAAAACAATCATGGATATTTCTTTCATATCATTATCTATTAAATTAGCAGTTCTCAACCATTTTCTTATTCCTAGAATTGTGTAGCTAAATCTCACATGAAGCATCTCTCATCACATTACATAAGTCTCAATTTGGGCAGGAGTGTGTAATTTCAGAAGCATAAGTCATCACTGTCCTTCATTTTTACCACCTTTTAGTTGCTGCATGGTAGTCCCACCAGAAGAGCAAGCCATTATTTTAGTCATAATAAGTTGCTTCCAACTTTTTCCTGTAATAACCCTTAAACATACCTGTAAATAAAAGTTCTGCATAGTTTTTGGGTGCACTGCTTGCCTGAAATTGACTTGCTGGGTTAAAGGATGTATGTGAAGACATCGGGATGGGCAAATTTGTATTTTTCTGTAAGATGGGCTCTAGAACTTGGTGGTCTTTAACTTCATTTGAAACAATTTTGTTAGATTGCATTGTGACAGCTGTCATACCAGCATACATTAGAAAAAAAACATCAAAATTGGTGAATTCTTTTTTTTTTTAAGGTTTCATCCATTCTTTTAAATTTTATTTATTTATCTTTAGAAGGGAAGGGAAGGAGAGAAGGAGAGAAATATCAATGTATGGTCGCTTCTGGGGCATCCCCTGCAGGGAACTGGCCCCTGCTGGGAACTCACCTGCCACCCAGGCATGTGCCCTGACGGGGAATCAAACCGCGATCGTGTGGTTCGCAGGCCCGTGCTCAATCCACTGAGCCACACCAGCCAGGGCTCCAAAATTGGTGAATTCTTGTATAGCCATTTTAATGTTACAGATGGAAGAAAATACACATTTTCAGCATATTACGCTTTATTATTTCAAGGTAAAAATGTAAATGAAATGCAATAAAACATTTGTTCAGTGTATGGAGGTGCTGTGACTGATTGAACTTGTCAAGTGGTTTTAAGTTTAGTGCTGGAGATTTCTTGCTGGACAATGCTCCACAGCTGGGTAGAGCAGTTGAAGTGTACAGTGATCAAATTGAGACATTGAGAACAATCAACATTATACCACGCAGGCAATTGCTGAGATACTTGAAATATCTGTATCAGTAATTATTGGTGAAAATGAAAAATGTGTCTTTACAGAAAAAACTATAAAGACTTTGGGGCAACTCAATACAATAGCACACTTAGAAGTATGCTATTTGTATAGACAAATCCTATACAAAGCATCCATATTCCTTAGAAGTATAGCATACTTCTAAGTGTGCTGAAATTCTCTGGAGTCTAAGGGCAAGATATACCTTGTCTCATATTCTGCTTCCAAAAGTACCATGTCGTTTTCTCTAAGTACTAGTTTTTTTTGTTTTTTTTTTTTGAAAGCATACTTCTATCCTGGTTATGCTGCTATATACCATATACTTTTTTCCCCAGAGAGAATTTATCCAGTTCTGTAAAACTTTGTACAGTATGTTCCGGGAAGATCCAGAAGAAAACAATTTGTATCAAGCCATTGCCACAGTAACCACTCTGCTGCTGCAGATCGGGGAAGTGGGGCACCGAGGTAGCAGCTCTGGAAGCTGCTCTCAGGACAGTGGGGAGGAGCCACAGGCTTCTCCTTCTCTGGAGCAGGACTCTGTATTCGCAGACACTGATCCTGGGACAGCTTCCCAGGATGCCCAGGCATTTCCTGAAGAGGCAGAAGGGGACTGGACAGTCTCCCTTGAGCATATCTTAGCTTCACTTTTGACTGAACAATCATTAGTAAACTTTTTTGAAAAGCCATTGGACATTAAATCCAAACTTGGAAATGCCAAGATCAATCAATACAGTCTCAAAACTTTTGAAATGAGCAGCCCATCACATCCTGAAATCAAGCAAGACAGCAGTTTGCTGAGACAAGTCTGCCATAACAAAGCAAGGATCACAAAGCAAGTTTCATGGGTTGTCAGCCCGTAAGTCCAGGTTTCAGGCTGAGTATATCCCACAAGCTGGGTATATACAGGTAAATCAACCTGACAGCCCCAGCTGTGGCCAGGATAACTTATGTAACCCTCAAACATGTATTTCTATTTATTCTTAAGACAATTACCAGTTTTGAAATTTTCTTAAATGGACATTTCTGCTATGCTTTTGTTCTGAGAACAAAAGTCCAGTGTATCATATTAACCCACAAATGCCCAAGCTTCTGTTTTACTTGGATAATGGGAGGTCCAGAATCAAGTTCACTTCCAAATCTAAGAGCCACTATCTGTGCAATTGCACTTGGCTTTTTTTGCACAAACTGTTTCAATGCTGGTAATTGTAACCATTTCAATATATTTGGTTGTATTCACCTGTTCTTGCAAAAAATGTATATATACTTTCAATGCTGGCCTCCAGATTTTTAAATAAATTTTGTATTGATTTTGGTCCTTGTTTATGCCTTATACTTATCTGAGTCTATGGTCTGGGTTGTGCCAGTGAACAGATAAGCTGGAGATGCCCCCCCCCCACCAATCTTGTGTTTCCGGTCAATGGTGCAACAGGCACAGGCGTATCCAACCTTCGGCCCAACACAAAACCGTCAATTTACTTAAAACATTAGATTTCTTTTGTGATTATGTGTGGCAACATATTTAATGGGTGGCTCAAAACAACTCTTCTTCCAGTGTGGACTGGAGATGCCAAAAGATTGGACACTCCTGCTTGGATTTTCAACCCTAACTTGGCTGTGCACTACCATCACCTACAGGGCTTCCAAGATGACCTCTTTATAGGGGTGTAAATAATAATGTAATAATATAGCCCCTGCAACAATGCTTTCAGGCTAAAGATTTTGGATTATGTAAATTTTACTCCTGAGCTCCATGTAAACCCAGACTAAAAATACCTCAAGGCCATTATGGTGAGCTAAAAATATTAACTGTACATATAAATTAAACATAATTTGGTTAACCCATCAAAATAGCAATTATTTTATAAGACAATTCAGTACTTCTTAACAATTACACTCAATACAGATAAAAGCAGAAGCTTACATACTATCAAGTATAAATAAATCTAAGATACTATCAGTATTATCCTTTCAGTTTGGCAAAATGAAGTGGCCAACGGCAATTGAGTTCTACATGCCAGTTTCTGGAAAAAGTTTATCTTAGTGCTTTTACATGCACGGCATTCTAACATTACCTCCAATGCCCCAACTACCTAAACGGTCACTCTAAAGCCAGCCTACACCTCAAAATTACCTTTAAAAACTTGCTTAGGACCTGTCCAAATACTGAGAAAGTCAGGGGCTAGAAAGAAGGGACACAGGTACAGTACTAAGGAAAAGCTTTCCAAATTCTGATTGGGAACTAATTTAGGATACACAATACATTCCATCACCACCAGAAACAGGAAACCAAACCACAAAGGCAGTTTTATAACTTTATTCAACGATCAGCAGTTAGTTCTCATCCACATTAACTGTTTGTAGATCTGGAAAAGAAAAGACAGCTAGTCACCTTCCATATCCATATATTGTATCATTTTTCTAATCTAAACAGCTTTGTGGCATAAAGTAACACTTACTTTTGAAAGTGGTGACAGGTACATAGGTAACCAACGTATAGAGCTTGTTTGGTGAATCTTCATCCTCATTCCGTTTTCTGGATAACCGCACTCGGATACGGTATGGGACATTCCTAATAACAAATATAGGCGTGCTGGTAAAGATAATTCCTCCTATCACGAAAGTAGCCACCAGGTATATTCACACATCCTATCCCCACTCCTGTAACATGTTTCTAATTGCACCATCCTTTGCTCTAACCTGACTAACCAGCCACTACAGAAAACACTGCTGTTTCAGGGTATATACCTGTCTTAGTATGCAGCCACCACTGACATTTAACCTATACAGAAATTGTGTTTATGGTCTTTGTCTAAAAGTTAAATTTGGATAAACACTAGAATAACTTTGCAGGCTACACTGAACACGAATAAATATTAAATGTTGTTTACTCTCTGCATCATAGTGACTTGTTCTGCCTGCCTCCTTTTACTGGTCTGAGATGAAGTGTCTTGATACTTGGGACTACAGTCATCCCTTGCTATGTTGTGGTTCACTTTTTGAGGCTTCAATGTATCACAGGTTTAAACCCCGTGATACAACTGTATACTTCAATGGTTGAGTACCCATATAGAATTTAATGTTAAAATTACTTAAGAATGTAGAAAGTATTTAAGAGCATATGAATTGTTCATAAGAGTGTGGGAAAGACTTATAGGAGCGTGGGAAGAGTTTATAAAACCTTAAAATATATATATAATAGAATAAATATAATGCCACTACCTTGTGGATTTTCACCTATCGTAGGGGTCTCTGGAACGTAACTCCCATGACAGGTAAGGGATTACTGTATTTTTGATGTCTATGATACCAACTCCTTCCTTACCTCAAAGGAGCCATTACTGACAGCTCCTTTATCTCACACATTTCTACCAACACCCTAAATGCTAGTCCACTGCAGGGCTGAATGTCATCCCATCCAATCCCAACACTGAAATACTACCCAGATGCTACACTCTGCCCTACTTCAGTCTTATAAAATCACATAGGCCATTGTAGTGCCACTACCCTTATTTCCACGCTGGCATCTTACACTGTCCTTCACAGCAGATAATCCACCCTCTTCCTTAAAAAGCAAGGGTTCTCAACCTTGGCCCTACTGACATTTGGGCTGGATAATTCTTTGTGTGGAGGGCTGTTATGCATTCTAGGATGTTTACCAGAATCTGTGGCCTATACTGACAACCAAAACTGTGTCTGGGGGAGGATATGTAAAATTGCCTATGGTTAAAAAACAGTGCTCCAACCGTTTCTAGAGAGAAATAGACTCTTTGCCATGACCTACAAGATCCCTTATGACCTCCCCCCACCTAACTTTCCATCCTTGTTCACATCACTTATCTCCAAGTCATTCACATCATCTTCAAGTCACTTATATGACTTCACCCGATTTGTTCTCACTGTGCACCACTCCCACCTGATCTTCACATTACTGGCTCCTGTTATTTGGGTCTCATTAAAAATACCATGTTAAAGTGCTTCCCTGCAAGTGCCACCCCACCCTTTGAGTTACTTCCACATTATTTTACACTTTTATAAGCATTAGCTAATTACTGAACTTATATAGAATGTGCAAAGTGAGCTGGTGTGATTCTAAAGGTTCATTTTATAACACAGATAACACTTTAGCACCTTATTCCTTTGGCCCAGACAGCTTTGTTGAGCCTGGTGTCAATGCGCACATCTGGAGTCCCCATCTCCTTCATGGCAAATTTCCGGATCTCTTTAAGTGCTCGAGGGGCACGCTTCTTGAAACCCCTTAGATTCATACATAAGTAAATAAATGAATTAAATACAAAATTAAATGAAATACATATTATGTTCCATTTTCATAAAAGAAACCTACACCAAACTTAACAAGATAGGGCAGTCCTTTCTTCAGGCAGTGTTAATGCCCAGCAACTAACATATTTGGAACACAAAAGATGCACAATCCACTTTTAGTAATAGAATAAGAGCTCTGCATATAGTCCTTAGGTAATGTTAATACACATATTGGCCAACCCTTTCCTGATCAAAATCAACCGCAAACTCTAATAATACCACTTATCAAGGAAATGTAATCAAAGGATGACTTTAGAATATGCTTGAACATAAAGCATACAACACTGAACGGTAAGCATTGGTAAGCATTCCCAGTTCAAAATGAGGGGGGATTTAAAAAACCCTGGTAAGTGATAAAAAATTGTGTATTTTTTATGTTTATACTTCAGTCACCTTCAAAGTACTCTCCATTTGATGCAATACACCTATCAAGACAACAACAAAAAAGTTGCCTGGGCAGGGCATGGTGGCATGTCATTTTTGGTCAAAAACCGCTGGAACACTCAGTACAGTGCAGGGAGGAGCACTTGTAAATCTCCCATCATGTAATGAGCAAACCTGCCTCCCCACCCCAAAAACCCACACACTTAAGCCAAACAGAGCCTCTCACAATGTCAACTGGTATACTTAGTCAGGTGGGTTCCTAGAACACTTACTTAGCAGGGAGAGCCTATACTACAAGGGCCCTGCTCTCCAAAAGCTAATTCTGTTTTTTTTTGGGGTCCCCATTCATAACTATAGCTGTCATATCTTAAGACACACCATGTTTTTGGAGTCAATTCAATACTAATTTAAAAGTTCATTTCCCTGGTCTGTGCTCAAAGAACAGAGACCTGAAATGTACAGATTCCTCTCACAAAATATGATGAAGACAAGAGTTAAGTTTATGAAGCTCTTGGCATGTGACAGGCACTGTCATTAGATCCTGTCAGTTCCAGCTCCAGGCTAGGTACTATTAATGTGCTGTTTAAACAAGGACACAAATCCACTTGATTTCATGCCTTCACTTGGGCCCTGCCAATGATTCAACTCTAACCCAAGGAACAGCTCCTGGAACATAATAGGTGCCCCATACTTGTTAGATGAAGCAAACTTTATGGAACCCAATAAAAATAAAATGGAGCATGGGAGAGTGACTTAATTCTGTTCTTCAATAATGTCTCATGACCTACAAAAGACCCAACTCTCTACCCACCCCTACATCCCACTTTACCATGTCTCTCCTGCTCTACTCTCACTAGCCTCCTGGTTATTTCTAGCAAGTAAGAAAGCTCATGCCATTCATTTAAATACTTAATCACTTAGAAAAGGCACTAGCAATACTATCAGTAGTATAGCAAAATCCTAGACCCTTCAGATTATGACACTTCTGGAGTATATCACATGGTGTCAAGTCTGACACAGGAAAATAAACCAGGGAAGAGGTAGGAAGTATTAGGGACGGGGATTGCAGGTTTAAGATGGCCAAGGAGATATTGGAGTCAAGAGCTGAAGCATGATGGCAGCCTCATGTGTGAGAAAGAGCAAAGGGGGTGGGGGTGGGGGGAGAGTAAAAGTAAAACCAAACAGCCTCCCCAAATCAGATAAATGTCTGATACAATTAAAGTGGCCAGTTCATACAGAATCAATCAAGTACTTTGGATTCCAATCTGAGTAAGATGGGAAGCCAATGGAGGGTTTGAGGATATAACAGATTTTGGGGGAGTGTGGGGGAATCAGGATCAGGGCGCTACAAATTATAACCACTGAAGTGACACAGAATGGTGGAAGGACTAGTACAATGGGTTAAATTGTGAAAGGCAGAGCCAACAAGACATGTTTACCTGCCAGTAACTGAACTAGGGAAGGCCAATGAACTAGGGAAGAGAAATGGGAAGGTTAGGGTTGGAGATGGATACTAGGATTTGGTTTGGGGCCATGTAAGGTTTGAGATGTCTACTTAAACATCCAAGTATAAGTAGAAAAGAGGAATCGAGTCCTGGGACTCAATATT